TGGACTGGATGATCCTCGTGGGTCCCTTCCAGCTCAGCACATGCTGGGATTCTGTGATTCCATGATTTACTTTGCTCCAGCCCCCCTTGGGACTGACACACCCAGACTCAGCTTCAGGAAAGAAGGTTTGGATCTGTTTTTGACTCCTGCAGGGACAGCAAAAGGAAGGGTGAAGTTCCAGGCAAGGGATGGAGAAACCCTTCTTGTTATGGTCCCTCCTTAAAATCCAGGTGACAGCCCTGGAAAGGCTGCAGAGCAAAGCTGGTTTCGAGGATAAAACAGGGATTTTGTGCCTCTTTTTTGTTCGCTCCATCCAGTACAAGGTGAAAAAACTTTTTAATTTCTTAAGTGTCCAAAACATGCTGAAGGCATCAAGAGAAAACAAAGACATTGCTGGAATAACCTGACTGTGTGACTACAGGGAGTATTTGCCAGGGACAAATCGACAGGACAAGAGGACACAGCCCCAAACTGTGCCAGGGGAGGGGCAGGTTGGACATCAGCAGGAATTTCTGCCTGGAAAGGGCGGTCAGGCCTTGAGGAGCAGCCCTGGCACCCCCCTGGGTCACCACGAATTGATCAGGAATCTTTTCCAGATCTTTAAAAAAACCCATCAAACCCAGTGTCAGCTCATTTTGGCTACAAATACTTCTCTGAAGGAAGAATAAATGTTTGCCTGCTCCAAGTGCAGCCATCCCTGCCCTCACAAGAATGTTTATTTATATCTTACTCCTACCAGCTGGAAGTTCAATAATTATTCTTCCAGCAGGAGAATTTGGAGTGGTTCTGCCCTTGCTTTTCTGGTGCTCTGACTGTTACTGACCATTGAGTAACCCCTGATCCCTACCCAAACAGCCAAATAAACACTGCAAGATCCAAGATGAGGGTTTTAGTGAGTAGGCTCTGTTAGGCTGGGGGTTTCAGGAAGGCATCTGAAGTTTGGGAAGTGGATACCCACAGAGCTGCAGGAGGATTTGAGCAGCTGCCTCCCAGCAGCCCCCGAGCAAATCCCAGAGATTGTGTCATTTTGTCACTGCCTGGCTCTTACTTTGACTTGTTTTTCCCTGCCTCAGCAGTGGCACTGGGGCAGTGGGTGGGTTCAGAGCAAGTTATGTCCAGTTGCTCTTATCCTCATCTTGGGGGTGTTTAACATCCAAAGGCAGCCTTGGAATAAAGGGCCAAGCTGCCAGGATGACTCCCATCTGCCTGGGCTATCCAAGGCCTAAAAAAAATGCAGGAAATGGGCACAGGCTTAGGAATAGTTCCCTTTATTAGCCAGAAAGAGGTGGTGAGACAAACTGCAGTGGTGCCTCTCCCAGCATCCCACCCCAGGTGTGCTGTGGGGCAGAGAGAGCCACAGCCAGGCCCTGGGGCCAGAGGGGTTGGAGGGGAGCAGGGAGCAAATCCTGCCATGACAAATGAGGGGAGAGAACACATGGACTGGAAACGATGGCCGAGGGTCAGCAGGGTCAGCCCAAGGGACGGTTTGGGTCGGGGCTGTGTCCTGGGGCATCCCCAGACAGGTGACCCAGAGCTCTCAGGGCAGTGCTGGGCCCGAGGCCACAACACAAGTTGTCCAGGGTTTTTTGAAACACCTGATTCCTTTTCCCTCGATGCAGTGAGGATGACATCACCCCCAATGGATCCTGGCCCTGTTGCACAATGTGGAGATATCTCAGGGTTCGTTGGCGCCGGGACTTTCCCTCTTCCACTTCCCCTCATCCTCATCCTCACAGGAGAACCGGCAGAGCGAGTTCTCTTGGGCTGAAACTGCCCCAGCACCCGGGTGTGCTTCCCCCTGAGCCAGCTCCTCCTTAGCACTGATTACCTGCTGTGTCCCTGTGGCTGCTGTGACACAGATCTGTCCTGATACAGCCTTGTCCCAGCAGAGCACACACCCAGAGACTGCTCCCCAAATTCCTGCAGCCTGGGAGTCAGCTACTCATGGGAATATCGTGGTTGAATCATAGACTGATGGGATCACTGAGGTTGGAAAAGCCTTTCCAGCCCATGGATCCCCCTGTGCCCCATCCCCACCCTGTCCCCAGCCCAGAGCACTGAGTGCCACGGCCAGGCCTGCCTGGGACACCTCCAGGGCTGGGCACTCCAAACCTCCCTGGGCAGCCCCTGCCAAGGCCTGACCACCCTTTCCAGGCAGAAATTCCTCCTGATGTCCCACCTGCCCCTCCCCTGGCACAGCTGGAGGCCGTTCCCTCTCCTCCTGTCCCTGTTCCCTGGGAGCAGAGCCCGACCCCCCCCGGCTCCCCCCTCCTGTCAGGGATTGCAGAGCCAGAAGGTCCCCCCTGAGCCTCCTTTTCTCCAGGCTGAGCCCCCCTCAGCTGCTCCTCCCATGGCTGACTCTCAGTGAGTTTGTATCTTAGAAAAAATTATCAAACCCCTGGTTTTTCATCCATTTTAGCAGGTCTTGGATATGCCACTCATGAGTTGCTCAGAAACAATTTGAATTTACAGACACAGGGATCAATCCCTTCTCTTGCTTTTCCTGGCGTTCCATGCTAAAGCCAAAACGTTTGATTTTTTTTTATAATGCTTTCCTTAATTAATTTCAACATTTTTCTCTTTCTCTCATATCATAGGGATTGTTTTTGTCACTGTTACAAGCAGATTACAGGAACTCCAGTTCCAGCTGACATCTGCCACAGAGTGAGAGCTGGGGCCGCTGCACCGTCCATCGGTGCGATGCATCAGCTGCCAGAATGAGACACAGATTTATTCTTTCTGCAAATAAATGGAAGATTTCCCCTCTCTTTTTATCCTTTTTTTTCCTCTTTTTTCTTGTTTTCCTCATTTCCTATGCCCTGGCAATCCTTTCCATGGTCAGGACACCAGCCTGGCTGTACAGCAGTACTTTGGAAAGCACCAAGAGCGTTGTACTGGTCAGCAAATCTCTATTCTGTGTATATTTAGACTGAGACATGCTGATTTTTTACTTTGGTGTCACAAACAAACCTCTGCTGCCTTGGGTGATGTCCAGAGCCAACGTCTGATTACAGGGAGAGCAGAAGAGGCTGGCTTTTGTCCCCTCTCAGTCTCGGTGACACCTCAGTGAGCTGGCTGAGGGGATTACACAACGGGTGGGATTTGACCTGTGAGTCCTTCGTTCCAGGTCATGATGTGAAGGTGGAAGGAATTCAGCTCAGGCACCCAGGAAAAGCCCTTGGATGTTTTTTCAGCTGGAAATGGAGTGTTGTGCACTGAGGGTCCCAGTGCTCACACAGCCCAGGCTGACAGGGGCACTTTATGGCCCCGCTCAGAGGGACTTTGGGGCAGTGGCATGTTTGGTGTTGGCTTTGTCCAGGAGAATGTAAATGGGGCAGCTTTTGGGGTACATCAAAGTTTCACTTGGAGCAGCAGTAGTTGTTTGCTGGGGCAGAGGGGGAGACTTGCAGCTCCTGCTTTACCTTTTAAATGCTACAAGAAGGGTTTCAAGCTTATGACGAGCATTGTCCTATGCAATTTTGAACGGATTAAAGACATCTCTGCTGACACCATTGTCCTGGGAGGCAGGTGTGCTGTCGATAAGAAAGGACTCTGCACCTTTCCCATTTCCATCTCTCTACCATTTGGCAGAGATTCAAACAGGTAACGTTAAAAAACGCTTAGCAGGAAGCTCTGGGTCCGTTCCCATGGCAAGCCCAGTGCTGTGCTGTCACACCATGCTGCTGTCAGGACAGTTTGGATTCCAAATTCCAATGCCTGCTGCTGCATTTGGTCCCTGCTGTGTCATCTGCTGGCAGCCTGTGTGTCCTTGGTCCCCAAAGCCCCCACGTGTTTCCCATCCTGCCCTGGTTCCTGGTGCTCCTTGCAATGGGGGCACTGCAGTTTGCCTGCAGGATACACACCCTGAAGGCTGAAGAAGCTGCTCCTTGCCAAAGGCTGAGGTTAAGTAGATGGAAATGCCATCACCTGAGCCAGGTGTTTCCATGTCTCCTTGCAAGTATGGCACATCTCCTTTACAGGCTTTTGTATCCCACCCTGTGTCCATCTCACCTGCACAGGAGGTTTTCTCTGGCAAGGCCCATTGGTTATTTCTGGATGCTGTGCCTGCGGTCAGTGGGACTGTGGTAAATAACCCCATGTCAGGCATCCTGCTTGAAGGCACAGACAGGACAATCTGAGCCAGCAATGCCAGCTGAGGTTGGGGCTCCTTAAATAGAACCGGTTATTAAACAGCACAGTGTGCAAAACCAGCTCATGATTCGGGGGATCACAGAATCCCAGACTGGTCTGGGCTGGAAGGGACCTCAAAGCCCATCCAGTGCCACCCCTGCCATGGCAGGGACACCTTCCACCAGCCCAGGTTGCTCCAAGCCCCGTCCAACCTGGTCTTGGACACTTTCAGGGATCCAGGGGCAGCCACAGCTTCCATGGGCAGCCTATGCCAGGGCCTCACACCCTCCCAGGGAACAATTCCTTCTCCATATTTCCACCCAGGTCCCAGGTGGTGGCACCTCCTCCCCGTCACACCGTGGGCCGTGCAGGAGCTCCGAGGGGGAGGTGTCTTGTTTCCCAAGGTGCCGTCCTGTGCTGCAGCTCCTGGGTTTGTAACAGGCGTTCTGGGCTGAGCGAGTCATTCCCGGCTCTGCTGGAAGCAGAACTGGGGCAGAGCTGCTCGGACACCTCACAGGGACAGCTACAAATCCACCCAGTGTCTCACTGTTCACGAAAACACGACCCTTCACACAGCCCGGTACCGCTGGGGCTGTGACGCTGCCGAGGCTCCCTCACCCCCTGAAGCTCTGTTCTCCTCCCCCCAGGGCTTTATCGGTGTTAACCAGGTGGACACAGCCCTCAGGTTGGCACCAAGAGGGCGATTCCCTCTCTGGGAGAGCCAGAAGGATCCCAGAGCCACCTCCCTGGGCACAGTCCGGAGCAAGGGAAGGATTCTCCCAGGACTGGCTGCTGGAAGATTTCAGCCTCCCTGTGCTGGTGTGGGTGCAGAGCAGGAAAATGAAATCCAGCCAGTTCTGCTTCTGTAGTGGGATATTCAAGCTGCCTGGGATAGAATTAATTTATTGAGAACAGGAAAGCGTCATCTATTTAAATCCGTTAATTTGCCACGGCAGGTGGGAGGGCAGTGGAGCAGGACAGGGTGGAGCGGAGGGAGCATCACGGAATCCCAGATCGGTGTGGGCTGGAAGGGACCTTACATCCATTCCCACCCCCTGCCACGGGCAGGGACACCTTCCACCAGCCCAGGTTGCTCCAAGCCCCGTCCAACCTGGCCTTGGACACTTCCAGGGATCCAGGGGCAGCCACAGCTTCTCTGCCCAACCTGTGCCAAGAGCTCGCGGCGAGCACACGCGGGTTCTCAAAGGCGTTTTTCCAGCGCTTTCAATTCCCGGTTTCGAGCACAAAGCGCAGCGCGGCCCTTCGGACACACAGACACCTCCATACGGACACACAGACACCCCCAGACGGACACACAGACACCCCCACATGGACACACAGACATGGACACACAGACACCTCCATACGGACACACGGACACCCCCACACGGACACACGGACACCCCCACACGGACACACAGACACCCCCACACGGACACACAGACACCTCCATACGGACACACAGACACCCCCACACGGACACACGGACACCCCCACACGGACACACAGACACCCCCACACGGACACACAGACACCCCACAGGGACACACAGACACCCCACATGGACACACAGACACCCCCACATGGACACACAGACACCTCCACACGGACACACAGACACCCCCACACCGACACACAGACACCTCCACACGGACACACAGACACCCCCACAGGGACACACAGACACCTCCACACGGACACACAGACACCCCCACACCGACACACAGACACACACGGACACACAGACACACAGACACCCCACAGGGACACACGGACACCCCCACACGGACACACGGACACCCCCACATGGACACACGGACACACAGACACCCCCACACCGACACACAGACACCTCCACACGGACACACAGACACCCCCACAGGGACACACAGACACCCCCACACGGACACACAGACACCCCCACACGGACACACAGACACCCCGCGCTCCCGCCCGGCCCCACAGCCCCGCACAGTAACACGGCAGGGCAGCGAGAGCCGCGCTCGGGCCCGGCCGCTCCGAGGGGGCCGGGGCGGCCCCGCCTGTGTCGGTACCGCCGCTCCCCCGGGCCCCGAGGGACCCGGGCCGTTCCCGTTCCCTTTGCTCCCTGAGGGGACCGTTCCCGTTCCCATTCCCGTTCCCGCTCCCATTCCCGATCCCGTTCCCATTCCCGTTCCCATTCCCATTCCCGTTCCGCTCCCCGCGGGCTCTGAGGGGCTGTTCCCGTTCCCGATCCCGTTCCCATTCCCGCTCCCATTCCCATTCCCGATCCCGTTCCGTTCCCATTCCCCATCCCGATCCCATTCCTGTTCCCGTTCCCATTCCCGATCCCGTTCCCGTTCCCATTCCCGATCCCGTTCCCATTCCCGATCCCGTTCCCATTCCCATTCCCGTTCCCATTCCCGATCCCGTTCCCATTCCCATTCCCGTTCCCGCCGCTCCCCCCCCCGCGGGCTCTGAGGGGCCGTTCCCATTCCCGTTCCCGATCCCATTCCCATTCCCGATCCCATTCCCGTTCCCGTTCCCATTCCGTTCTCGTTCCCGATCCCGTTCCCATTCCGTTCCCGTTCCCATTCCCGTTCCGTTCCCATTCCCATTCGTTCCCGTTCCCGATCCCGTTCCCGTTCCCATTCCCGTTCCCATTCCCATTCCGTTCCCATTCCCATTCGTTCCCGTTCCCGATCCCGTTCCCATTCCCGATCCCGTTCCCATTCCCGTTCCCATTCCCGATCCCATTCCCATACCCATTCCCGTCCGTCCCGTCGCTCCCCGCGGGCTCTGAGGGGCCGTTCCCATTCCCGTTCCCGTTCCCGATCCCATTCCCATTCCCGATCCCATTCCCGTTCCCGATCCCATTCCCGTTCCCGTTCCCATTCCCGTTCCCATTCCGTTCTCGTTCCCGATCCCGTTCCCGATCCCGTTCCCGTTCCCATTCCCATTCCGTTCCCATTCCCATTCCCGTTCCCATTCCCGATCCCGTTCCCATTCCCATTCCCGTTCGTTCCCATTCCCATTCGTTCCGTTCCCGATCCCGATCCCGTTCCCGTTCCCATTCCCATTCCGTTCCCATTCCCATTCGTTCCCGTTCCCGATCCCGATCCCGTTCCCGTTCCCATTCCCATTCCGTTCCCATTCCCATTCGTTCCCGTTCCCGATCCCGTTCCCGTTCCCATTCCCGTTCCCATTCCCATTCCGTTCCCGATCCCGTTCCCATTCCCGATCCCGTTCCCATTCCCGTTCCCATTCCCGATCCCATTCCCATACCCATTCCCGTTCCCGTTCCCGTTCCCATTCCCATTCCGTTCCCATTCCCATTCGTTCCCGTTCCCGATCCCGTTCCCGTTCCCATTCCCATTCCGTTCCCATTCCCATTCGTTCCCGTTCCCGATCCCGTTCCCGTTCCCATTCCCATTCCGTTCCCATTCCCATTCGTTCCCGTTCCCGATCCCGTTCCCGTTCCCATACCCATTCCCATTCCGTTCCCGCCGCTCCCCCCCAGCGGGCTCTGAGGGGCCGTTCCCGTCACCCCCCGCGCGCTCTCGCGCCCCGCCCCCCTCCTGTCCCCGCGCGCGCCGTGACGTCGCGGCCCGGCCCGGCGCGGCGCGCGTGCGCGGTGTCGTGCGCGTGCGCGCGGCGGGGGCGGGCGGGCCGAGCGGGCCTGGCGGGCGCGGGGCGGCGGCGGCGGCGGCGGGGCCGGGCCGGGCTGGGCCGAGCGGGGCCGGGCCGGGCTGGGCTGGGCTGGGCAGGGCTGGGCAGGGCAGCGCCGCCGCCGCGATGGAGCCCGACTCGGTCATCGAGGACAAGACCATCGAGCTCATGGTGAGTCACCCCCCGCGCCCCGCTCGCCCCAGGCCCCGCGGGTCCCGCCCCGCCGCTCTGAGGGGCCGAGCCGGGCCGCGCCCCCGGGGCTCCCCGCGGGTGAATCGCTAACAACAATTAACCCCGCGGGGGCCGCGCCGGGCCGGGGGCGCCGCACGGGCCCGCAGCGGAACGCCCCGGGAGGGGGTCCGGTCCCGCCGCCCCGCACCCCGGGCCGGGCCCCCGGCCCTGCGCCCCACCGGAGCCCCCGCCGAGCACACGGGATCACCTCATTGTGTGCGGGTTGGACTCCCAATTAACGCGCACGCCGCTAAATTCACCGTAGTGCAGAGGCGCTCTGATGGCAGCGGTGCAAAGAGATGTTTTTTCTTTAACAGAAGGAAATTAGGTCTCTTCAGTCAAACATTAGGGGCCCCTCGTTTTGCCTGCCTTCAGGCATGAATTAAATTCAGTTAGGAGCTGGGAGAGAATAATAATCGGTAAATATCTCCTAATTTGTTTGTCACGAGTGTAACTGCTTTTTGTGCTCGGCATAATTTGGTCTCACACACGAGTTTCCATGCGGTTCTCCAGAGCTGAGGGGCAGAACGCAAGTAATTTGCTGTTAAGGCACTCCGAAGGTGAGCTGGGTTCAGTGGAGACACTAAATGGGTTTTTTTGGCCAAATTCTTGCTAAATTACCTGATCTGGAAAATACGAGCTTTCTTTAAACGTGTCACCTGGCCTCATAAAGCAAAAATAAAATAGAAAAGGGGGAAACCTAAAAAAGAACTTGGTGTTTCTTTCGTTATTTTTACTGGTTGCCGAGGCCAAGGGCTTAAAAGCTGTTCCTGGGGAGCCCTGGCCCCTGTGGGTCCCTGGGGGTCAGCAGAGCCATCACTGCCCTGCAGCAGCGAGGGCAAGGCTGGGGCTGCTCTCTGGGGTCCCTCACAGGACCAGGCTCCTCCAGAACAATGCCTATGAAATTCCCGAGGGGAAAAGTGACTTCTGGTGGTTTTTTCCCCTCCCCGGAGCTGTGGGTCACTCACACCCCTCTGCTGGGGGTTGTGTGAGGTGCCCAAATAGCGTTTGGGCCTGCAAGGTTTGGCTCCCTCGACTTTCTTCCTTGCTGTTTTGTAAGTGCTCTCGTGTTTTAGTCTCTCCTGTTTGGGGCCAGGTTGTAGCAGGAGGAAGCAAATGGAACTTTTGCTGGTTAATTGTTGTACCCTCCATTTACAGCTGGAGCTGGGAAATATGCTGATCCATGCAAATGTCTGTGGGGTTAGTAGGAGTTTCATTATGTAGGAGGAGGTTTAAGAAACAAATTTTTCTCTCTTTCACAAGAAATGGACATATGTAAAAATTTTAATAAGATGAACAGTTCTGTAGTTTCTAGCAGGAAACGGTACTCTGCAAAATGTAGTTGGTAGCTGAATTTCACGTTAACCTTAGTGAGGGCTTGCACAGAAACACTTGTGTTTGAGTGGAAATGTTCCACTGAAATCGTTGGAAATTCATCCCTAAACCAAGGCGTGGAGGTTTTGCCTTCTCGTGTGGTGTGGAAGGTGAGATTCTCCAGGAGATTTGTTTAAATCCCCAGAGCAGAAGCTGTTTGGGCTGAGTTTCCCATCAGGGATTTCTGTGTGAAATGGGAAGCCGGGTGGGAAGCATATCCCAAAGCCTGGGGCTTGGGGCTCATGGCAGCCTGGCAGACCGAGGGCAGCGCTGCTCCTTGTGAGGGTGTTCTGGGTCACTAAAAGCAGGATGTTTTATGCCTCTGTGATGCAGACTGGTGCTCTCTGGGTGCTCCATTACTCCCCTGCAGTGCCAGGAGGAATCTGTAGTAAATAGAGGAGCAAATGTGCGATGTGAAAGTTCCGAGGAGCAAACGGAACCGGGTTCTGAGGGGCCGAGGAACAATTAGAGATGATGTGTCAACATGTTAATTGCTCTTCTAGCCCTCGAGTCTACCTTCCCTGGATAGATCATTTGCATTTATTTAAAGGAAAATCAGTCATGGAAATAACACTCTTCTATTTTTAAAGCTGGAATCTAAGAGAAATATTTCCAGGTTTCAGAGTGACCACTTTGCTTTGCTGCGGGAAGTTTTAGTGAGTGTTCCCAGGTCACTGTATCCCTTAGGACAGCTGAGGGCTTCCTGTGCCTGGTGCCAGTTCTGTATCCTGTCATCAGTCGTCTCCAGGGATGAGCAGTGATGGAGTGATCCATTCCATGGCTTGCCTGTCCAGCTGAGCTCCCGGTGCCTGCAGAGGTGGTTTGGGAGGCTCCCAGGTTTCCTGGGGCTCTCTGGGGTGTGCAGGGGTTGGGTCTGGCTCAGTCACCTTCGGGCTCAGGGAAGGGCTGTGTGAGAGCGGCTGGGAAGTGGGGAGTGAGGAAGTAATCCAGAACAGATGGGGGGCCAGCCAGAGCCATTGAAAAGGCTCTTTCTTCCCTGGGTTTGGTTTTCTCAGTGAAATTAGATAACTGTGACCTTTCTGCTCTTCTAAAGAACCAACCTTTTTTCTTTCTTGAGGTGAAGTACTAACAATGCTTTGTGAAATAGGTTTTGTTACCTCCAGAGTCCGAGTTGTGTGTAGAATCTGTGGTGTTCAGTCACATCAGCCCTGTGATTTGCCTTTGATACCTGCTAAAAGCCTTGTGTTCCTCATTTTCTCAGGAAGCTTCCCTGCACCATACTTCAGTTTCAGCAGCAGCTTTCAAAGCAGGGGGTAATTAGCTGCTTAGTTTATGTTAAAGTGGTTGTAAAAGAATACATAAATATGACAAATAAGGTTTTTTTAATACAGGTTAAAAAGTTAGGCGTTTATGGGGTAAATGTGTCCAGCATAAGATGTCGATAGCACAAGGGAATAAATCTGTTGCTCGCAGGCTCTGGTACCCAGCAGAGCCCTCTGGGCCGTGGCTGCTGTGTGGAAGCTCTCCCATCTGTGTTTCACTGTGCCCCTGGTGCCTGTGCTGCTGTCAGACACAGATGCCCGTGCTGGCAGTTCAGATCCAGCACAGCAGTGCTCGTGGTAGGAGCAGGGAAGGGTTATGGGAGGGCCATGCCTAGCAATGGAAGGGACAAGCACTTGTTCACACGGCGTTAGCATTTGTATCCTGAAGTTCCACATGTGGAAAACAGTCTTCCTAACGCACTGCCTTCAGTGGCTAGAACGTCTCTGGCTCTCATAAAGGCGTCCGGTGTTTAAGTACTCTGTAAATAATAAATGAAGAACTACAATTGAGTATCTTGCCAGAAATCTGTCCCTTTCTCATGGCTTTGATGGGAGCTGAAGGTCTTCAAATCTGAGGGTACCAATTTCAGAAGGATGTGTTTCACACAGGC